CGGAGTCGCGGCAAAGAAGAAGGCGAAGGAGGCGGCGAAGGCGAAGGCGGGCCACGAAGGCGAAGGCGAAGGCGAAGGCGAAGAAGAAGAAGAAGAGGGCGAAGGCGAAGGCGGAGAAGGCGAAGGCGAAGGCAAAGAAGAAGAAGAGGAGAAGAAGGAGAAGAAGGAGAAGAAGTAGAAGTAGAAGGCAAAGAGGAGAAGAAGGAGGCGGCGAAGGCGGGCGAAGAAGGCGAAGACGGGTGGCGAAGGCGAAGGCGAAGAAGAAGAAAAAGAAGGCGAAGGCGAAGGCGGCGGCGAAGGCGTAGAAGGCGAAGAAGGAGAAGAAGGAGAAGGAGAAGGAGAAGAAGGAGAAGAAGGAGAAGGAGGAGGAGAAGGAGAAGGAGAAGGCGAAGAAGAAGGCGAAGGCCAAGAAGGCGAAGGCCAAGAAGGGGAAGGCGAAGAAGAAGGCGAAGAAGAAGGCGAAGAAGGCGAAGGAGGAGGAGGAGGAGAAGGAGGAGAAGGAGGAGAAGCAAGAAGAAGGAAGGAAGAAGTAGGATGAAAGAAGGCGAAGAAGAAGAAGAAGAAAGCGACGAAGAAGAAGGCGAAGGCGAAGGCGGCGAAGGCGGCGAAGAAGGCGAAGGCGAAGGTGAAGGCGAAGAAGGCGAAGGCGAAGAAGGCGAAGAAGGCGAAGGCGAAGGCGAAGAAGGCGAAGGCGAAGAAGGCGAAGGCGAAGAGGGCGAAGGCGAAGAAGAAGGCGAAGGCAAAGGCGAAGAAGAAGGCTAAGGCGAAGAAGCCGAAGGCGAAGAAGGCGAAGGTGAAAAAGGCAAAGGCGAAGAAGGCGAAGAAGGCAGCGAAGAAGAAGAAGGCAGCGAAGAAGAAGGCGAAGAAGAAGGCGAACACGAGGAAGGCAGCGAAGAAGAAGGCGAAGACGAAGAAGGCAGCGAAGGCGAAGAAGGCGAAGGAGAAGGCGAAGAAGAAGAAGGCGAAGAAGAAGGCGAAGAAGAAGAAGGCTAAGGCGAAGAAGAAGAAGGCTAAGAAGAAGAAGGCGAAGAAGGCAAAGAAGGCGAAGAAGGCAAAGGCGAAGAAGGGGGCGAAGGCGAAGAAGGCAAGGAAGGCGAAGAAGGCGAAGAAGGTGAAGAAGGAAGCGAAGGCGAAGGAGGCGAGGCTAAGAAGAAGGAGGCGAGGAAGAAGAAGAAGAAGAAGAAGAAGAAGAAGAAGGCGAAGAAGTCGAAGAAGAAGAAGGCGAAGAAGGCGAAGAAGGGGAAGAAGGCGAAGAAGGCGAAGAAGAAGAAGGCGAAGAAGACGAAGAAGAAGAAGGTGAAGGCAAAGGCGAAGGCGAAGAAGGCGAAGAAGGCGAAGAAGAAGGCGAAGAAGGCGAAGGCGAAGAAGGCGAAGAAGGCGAAGAAAGAGAAGAAGGCAGCGAATAAGGCGAATAAGGCGAAGAAGGCGAAAAAGTCGAAGGCGAAGAAGGCGAAGAAGGCAAAGAAGGCAAAGGCGAAGAAGGCGGCGAAGGCGAAGAAGAAGGCGAAGAAGAAGGAGGCGAGGAAGAAGGCGAAGACGAAGAAGAAGAAGAAGAAGAAGAAGGCGAAGAAGAAGAAGGCGAAGAAGAAGAAGAACAAGGCGAAGAAGGCGAAGGAGAAGAAGAAGGCGTAGAAGAAGAAGAAGAAAGAAGAAGGCGAAGGCGAAGAAGGCAAAGGCGAAGAAGGCAAAGAAGGCGAAGGTGAAGAAGGCGAAGAAGAAGAAGAAGAAGAAGAAGGCGAAGAAGAAGAAGAAGAAGAAGAAGAAGAAGAAGAAGAAGAAGAAGAAGAAGAAGAAGAAGAAGGCAAATAATAATAATAATAATAATAATAATAATAATAAGAAGAAGAAGAAGAAGAAGAAGAAGAAGAAGAAGAAGAAGAAGAACGAAGGAGAAGGAGAAGACGGAGGAGAAGGAGAAGGAGAAGGAGAGGGAGAAGAAGAAGAAGAAAAAGAAGAAGAGAAGAAGAAGGAGAAGGAGAAGGAGAAGGAGAAGAAGAAGAAGGAGAAGGAGAAGGAGAAGGAGGAGGAGGAGGAGTACCACCCGCCAACCTGCTATTTTATTTTATTTTATTTCCTGCTCTTCGGTTTCTGATTGTTGGCACCCTCTGCAGTTGGCGCCCATTTTCAAATCCCTCCTTAGGCACTTTCGGATTTCAACACCTGGCGCCATCCGGCATTCAGGCGCCCAAACTCAGACCCGCGACCCTCAGTTCAGTCCTGCTGAGGCAGGCCACGCCTCGGCCGCCGGACTGAGCCGTTGGGGCATTCAGTCTTCGGCCTTCGTGCTTGTGCTTCAGTGTGACTTGCCGCGACTCTGTGTTCGGAATCCAAGATTGCAACTTTGTGACTTTGGGACTTTGCCACGCCGTGTCTACGTCCGTCGTGTCTGAGTCGAGTGAGTGTGTGTGTGCTCTCACTCTCTCTTCTCTCTCTCCCTCAGCCTCCCCACTCTGTCTCTGCCTCGTCACACTGGTATCGGAGTGGTTCGAACCCGCCCGACCCACCCTGCTTCGTCGTCATCACCTGGCCATCATCAGCATCATCATCGTGATCGTCGCCGTCGTGCCATGTAATCATCGTCATCGTCGCGATTGTCGTCGTCGTTCCACGTCATCATCGTCACCGTCGCGATCGTCGTCGTGCCACGTCACCATCGTCGTGCCCGCCGTCCTCGTCGACACGCTGTGCCATCCTCATCATCGTCGTTGCCACCTCTGTGTAGACTTCTTCTTCTTCTTCTTCTTCTTCTTCTTCGGGCACGGCGATGGTGACGTGGCACGACGACGATCGCGACAGTGACGATGATGATGTGGCACGACGACGACGATCGCGACGATGACGATGATGACATGGCACGATGGCGACAATCACGATGATGATGCTGATGATGGCCAGGTGATGACGACGAAGCAGGGTGGGTCAGGCGGGTTCAACTGCTCCGATAACAGTGTGACGAGGCAGAGACAGAGTGGCGAGACTGAGGGAGAGAGAGTGTGAGAGCACACACACACACTCACAAGACTCAAACACGACGGACGTAGACACGGCGTGGCAAAGTCCCGAAGTCACAAAGTTGCAATCTTGGATTCCGAACACAGAGTCGCAGCAAGTCACATTGAAGCACAAGCACGGAGGCCGAAGACTGAATGCCCCAACGGCTCAGTCCGGCGGGCCGAGGTGCGGCCTGCCTCAGCAGGACTGAACTGAGGGTCGCAAGTCTTAGTCTGGGAGCCTGAATGTCGGATGGCGCCGGGTGTTGAAATCCGAAAGTGCCAAAGGAGGGATTTGAAAACGGGCGCCAATTGCAGAGGGCGCCAACAGTCAGAAACCGAAGAGCAGGAAATCAAATAAAATAAAATAAAATAAAATAGCAGGCTGGCGGGTGTTACCCCGCGGACCAGGGATCGAGCCCTGGCTGAGCCTGAAACAGGAAGTGGGAAGTGGGGCAGCGTGGGCTAAGGAAGCTACCCCATCTGGTTAGCTCGTGTTGGGTCCACACTGAGCCTGACCAGGTTGGTTGAGAGTGAGCTTGTCGTGGCGAGACACATCAAGGGGACTTCATGCGACAAGTTGAGAGAGGCGACAGTGAGAGGCACTCACACCTGGAATCCGACGTAAGAGAGACACTTGGTGACTTAAGGGCCTCCCTCAAGTAGACGATCTTGAGGGAGGTAGCCATTCTGCATCTACGGACTGCAAGTTGCTACTTTTTTCTTCAGCATCGGCGGGGGGATCCGGCGTTGCGCTTTGGTGTTGGAGTCAGACCCTCCTACATGATAGGGCACTAGTGTAAAGGTAGCGAATAGGGTTAGGAGGATCACATGAGGAAAGGGGGTGAGTTATACTTCATCTCAGAGTTCGGGCCACTCAGTTAAGTTTCGTGCACCTAAGGGTTGCCCATGTGTGTGTGTGTGTGTGTGCATGGTATTGCTTGTCCTATTGGGGTACTTCCGGGTCTCCTTCCTCCTCCTCTGAAGTCTTGGTTGCTGTCTCTTATACACATCTAGATGTGTATAAGAGACAGGTGTAAAGGTAGCGAATAGGGTTAGGAGGATCACATGAGGAAAGGGGGTGAGTTATACTTCATCTCAGAGTTCGGGCCACTCAGTTAAGTTTCGTGCACCTAAGGGTTGCCCATGTGTGTGTGTGTGTGTGTGCATGGTATTGCTTGTCCTATTGGGGTACTTCCGGGTCTCCTTCCTCCTCCTCTGAAGTCTTGGTTGTGTGCATTGGTGTGCAAACTGCTTACCAACCTGATGGATGTAGAGATGAAGTATCTTGCTTGGAATGCCATATCTTTCTACAGTGCTTTGTCTTTTCATTCTCAATGGATGTAGTCTGTAGGTTCTCTCTTGAAGTTGAAATTTGTTTTTTCGGTACGGTAGAGGCAGAACGTAGGACCTTGGGGTACTCTTCTTGCTTGGGACTTGGTCGCAACCTACATGGGACCAATAGGGACTCAGTGGGACCAGCCCCAAACAAGAAGGGCCCCTTGGACTCAAATTTGTCGACGCAATGCCGCTCTCTTTTCTGTCTGGAATTCCTTGCTCTTCTTTTTTATTACAGCACTCACTGCCGAGGGGATCTCGGCTGGGATGTTTTGCGGACTGATGATGCACACGCACAATCCGATGCTTGACCTGCACCTTATACACCACTCAATTCTCCATTGTTGTATGTTGTCACTTGTAGTCTGATTTGTTGTTGTGACGGGGCTGAGGCAGAGCAGTGAGGTCGAGGAAGAGAGAGGGAGTGAGAGCACACACACACACTCACTCGACTCAACACGGGCTTGACACAACTCGACGAACACAGACACAAAGTGGCAAAGTCGCAAAGTCGCAATCTTGATTCCGAACACAATGTCGCAGCAAGTCACACTGAAGGACAAGAGGCCGAGAACTGGAACTCAGCTGGAGTCCGGTCTTAAGTACCGGACTCAAGTTGAGTCCGAGGGCAGAAGTGCAATTTGCCTCGGGGCTGAACTGAAAATCGAAGGTATGAGCCTCGACGCCAAGTATCGAAGTCCGAAAGTACCAAAGGAGGGATTTGAGAACATGCACCAACTGCAGAGGGCGCCAACAGTTAGGAACCGGAGATCGGGGACTCAAAAAGAAAAAAATAGCAGCCTGGCGGGTGGTAACCCGCGGACCAGGGATCGAGCGCTTGCTAAGTCCGTAACACTATCCCCTCCCTCTGGAAAGCAAACGTCCCAGCTGCCAAAGACCCAATGAACAACTGTGAAGGACGGGACGGGGCCGATCACTAGTCAGAAAAGGAAAAGAGGAGTAATGCAAGTAGCAGGGTAATCCTATTGAGGTTCTACAGGGATGAGGGAATCAATGCTCAAGTAACAGGGTAATCCTATTGAGGGTCCACAAGGGCGAGAGTAGCAATGTTCAGCGAATCATGGTAATCCTATTGAGGTTCTACAAGTACCAGGGTGGTCCTATTGGTGTTCTACAAGGTTATAGGTTATCAGGTTTTAGAGAAAAAAAAGAAAAATTTGTTTGTTGAATGCTCAAGGGCTGGGGTGTCTGAGGGGTCTGGAAAAACAACGTCTCAGGTCTGTAACAAAGTGTCAAAAGCAAAAACATGTCTTGAGAAAGGTCTTGGAGGGGGTCGCAGAAGTGGCGGTGAGGAAGCAGTCTTCATCAGTTCTGTGATATAAACGGCGAGGGCTTCAACTTGATTGTCCCAGTAGCAGGTTGCGTCCGGTACACGATCTGGTGATGAGGTCTGATCCGGATAGCAGATCGCAGACTGATCTTGATGTCCATGTCAGAGGTGCTGCTCCAGAAATCTGTGCGTCGAAGGCACTGGCCAAAGGGAACAGCATGGTGGCCAACCAGCTGTCTTATCTCCTAGTACTGAGCTGCACTATGCCATCGTCCTCATGCGCTTGCCATTAGATCCATTATCGCCCGCGACGCGCAGGGGCCACATAGAGAACTTGGACAAGAGAGACAAGGATGTGGCAGAGGACAAATGGGAGAACGGGGCAAGGCGGGAGGCAAGAGCGGATCAGACAGGGGGGGGTTCAAGAGGCAAGGGTGTGTGTAGAGCACGAATGCGGGGTTTTGGTGGGGTCAAGGCGGGGTTTATGCAGGGGTTATGTATCTAGGATATAGGGTGAGCACGATCATAGGCGCGAACAAGTTTCATTGCATTCTTAAGGTTAGGAAGAGGTTCCCATGTGGATTCTTCATCAGGGTATCCACTGTGATTGGTTCCAGATAGTTTGATACTTGTGTGGTTCTTCGAACTATGATGGATTCTACTACGAATTATGGGTCTGTGAGGAGCATGATCGGTGGAGGTTTGGGTTAAGGGCAGTCAGCGAATTGGGTTGGGGATTCATGGTATTCTTTTAGGTATTCTACGTGGAAGAGGGGGTGGATGCGACTCATGTCAGGCGGAAGTTGGGAGTTTGTAGTTGACGGGGGAGGTTTGTTCAATGACGGAGAAGGTTCCGAGCCACTTGTTTGAGAGTTTCTTGGACAAGCCGTGTTCGGGCTCAAAGCGTTTGGCAGAGAGCCAAACTTTGTCCCCTTCTTTGAATGACGTGTCACGTCTATGTTTGTTAGTCCTGTTTGCTTGTTGTTCTTGTGTTCTTTCAAGGGCTTCGGTTGCTTCTCTGAGGAGTCGATTCATTGTTGCTACACATTCATTGAGGGAAGGGCATGGTGTGGGGGG